GTGATATTTGTATTGTTCTTTTGAGCCGACACATGAACATAAACTCTCATATTAACCAGCACATGCAAGATCCAGTACAGGACACTGGGTTTTTACTATAAGCTCTGCCCAGCTAGAAATCCTGGCCGACAGTGATGGACTGGAAGATACTCAATGGACATATGGTGCAAACAGACACACTTATGGCCATGCAGTGACATACATAAGTTTGCACCCAAAATCATGAAGAAAATATTTCAAATCAAAAGCTACTATGGTTTCTGGAATACTTAGAAAGAATGATCAACAGCCCAGCTAGTATGGCTCAATTGGTTGAGCATCATCCCATGCAGCAAGAGGTCATAGGTTCTATACCTTGTGAGGGAGCATGCCCGGGTTGTGGGCTCGATTCCCAGTGTAAGCTGTGCAAGAAGCAGCTGGTCAATGTTTCTCTTTCATTTCTGTTTCTATCTCTCTATCCCTCTCCTCTAAAAAATCAATAAGACCACATATTTTTTTAAAAGCATGATCAACAGTTGTCTATATTCAGATGAATTTGTCTGGGTTCCACTGCAGTAAAGGAGATGATGATGATGTAACAGTAAATAAAAATTCTTTTTATTTTAAAATATATTTTATTGATTTTTTTTACAGAGGAAGAGAGAGAGAAAGAGAGAAACATCGATCAGCTGCCTCCTGCACACTCCCCACTGGGGATGTGCCTGCAACCAAGGTACATGCCCTTGACTGGAATCGAACCTGGGATCCTTGAGTCTGCAAGCCGACACTCTATCCACTGGGCCAAACGGGTTTCAGGATAAATAAAAATTCTTTAGGATTCTAACAAATATTGAAACCGGGAAGATAATTCCCATTTTCAAATACAACATGCTACTCTGATGTTTCCCAGTACTCACATTCAGAAAGAAAGACTTCATCATGAAATTAGGAGTTATGAGCTCTTTTTCAGAAAACATATTAGAGGCCCAGTGAAAAAATTTGTGCATGGGTGAGGTCTGTTGGCCTGGCCGGCGATTGAGGCCAATTGGGGCTGAGGGAGGTTGCCTGGGATCAGGGCTGATGGGGCCGGCCAGTTTGGAGGAGGGACCGTGGGAGGTTTGGGGCACAGTGACCCCCAGGCACCACCTCCTGCATTGAGCGTCTGCCCTTGGTGGTCAATGCAAGTCATAGTGACTAGTTGTTAAGTCATTTGGTCATTCAGTTGTTCAGTCGCTTAGACTTTCATATACATAGATGATAGATAGATAGATAGATAGATAGATAGATAGATAGATATAGATATATAGATAATCCAAAATTTTCAACACATTCTGATGCTTCTCACACCATGGTATACATTCTAAACTACTGATCAGTACCTATAATGATTAACAAGAATGATATGGGATGGGGAGAATAATGAGATGGTATAGCCATAGCACTTCAAAGGACAATGGCTCTGATGTCCATGTAGCTGAGAATAAAAAGAATTAAAAGAACTGGAAATAATTAAATAAAAGAAACGCAATTTATCTTAATTTTAGAGCCAGTTTTGTAGCATGGAAACAGGTCTCCCCTCCACATATTTAATTCATATCAATTTTCCATCCTGAATATTTTTACATCTTCTTAAAACTACATCACTCCTATTGGAATATTTTCCTCCTAATTATGGAGTTATCTATTACATACTAAGTAGTGTCCTAAGTGTTTATTCCTTTCATATAACTATCAAAACAATATTATGATTTGGGACATTATCATGTTTTCAACTAAACAAACTCAGAAAAGAGTGAATAACTTTGGTGACATCAATAAGTAAAAACAACTAAAGAAATGTTCACTTACATAGTTTCTCTTTAATAGAAAGAATGAAATAAAGTGTATTAAACAAACTACAACTTCATATGCTCATTAATCCAATTATTACCATTTTCAGGATATTTCTGTACACCATTGAATTCAATGAAAGCCATTCTTAAAATCTCCAAGCACAACCTATAAGCAACATTTCATCCACTATGGAATAAGAAAAACACATGTTAGATCTTACATGGGACACAGAAATGTAAACAAACAGAACTGTAGTGGGAGATTCTCAGACCAAGAATCATCAGATTTGGGAGAAAGAAATTCACTATAATGTATCGAAGATGAATCACATTATAAACCTATAAGATTTCTAGCTTGCTAGTAAATCAACATATATTTTTAAATTACTAATTTTGATCCTTTTTTCTAAAGATATGTGCACACACATACACACCCACTTCTTCCTCATTAATCCTCTTACTACTAAATTACATCTTTGTTACTGTACTTACATATTACATGCAGTGCATATCAAAACCATGCAAACCTGTTATATAGGCTCAGAAAAAGGAAGTGAAGAAAATATATATAGGCTAAAATGTAATCATAATGCAGAATTCCAAAAATAGGGCTTCTAATCATATTTTTTTAAGATTTGTTAAATTAGCATTTGTTAAGCAAAGCTCACTGGTATTGAATGGTAACTCAGAGACCACAGGGTAAATTGGCAAAAACTAGTTTATAACTCATAGGCCTGGAGGAAATACACAATACACCTGCAAGGGCTACACAGGGAGGCCAAGACAGGATGCAGGCAGAGAGTGGCAGGACCCAGAGTGCATGTCTTTGTTAGGAATACTATGTGTAGTGCCCTGGGGTTCTCAATTGAGGTCCAGATTGTTCTATTCGAAGGAAAATCAACAAGGTTTTGGTAAACTCTTCAGTAATCTTATATACGCGGCATACAAAATAAAGACCCTGAGGTACACAAAACTCTATAGCAATCAAGGGCTTCTTGAGAAGTTATATCGAAAACTTACACATTTACTTGTGACACTGTAAGTTGGTGTCTTGTGTGTGCACTAGAGGGAAAAGGGAGTCAAGTCAAGGTTCCTTAGCTACACAAGACAAATACCAATGCAGAAATATTATAAAGTATTTTAGCTAAACTCTTACAAATACTCCCACTAGATCTTTACTGCAACTATCAAAATGTCCCTGTAAGTACAACAGAAGGAAGAAGATACAATTCTGGGGAAACTCTACATATTATTTAAGGTTAAGGGACTTCTAGTAATATCATTCCAGTGCATTACAAAATGTTACCCACAACAGTGAATGAGGTAGGAATTATTAACATTCAAGGCATGTTAACACCTCATTCATTACACATCACTGTTAATACACTTATATTCATTCATTTTATCAATGAGACTATATTAAGTCCACACAGTCTAAACAGAGCATTACAAACCCAATATATTACACTGGTCAAAATACACATTACAATCATTCACAGAATCATGAAATGAATTGAAATTTTAAACCAATTAATACTTTTGTTTAAAAAAAATCACAAATACTGTCATAATAATAATATAAAAAAGATACAGTGTAAGCAATTAATTTATTCAAACATCCATATCCTTGGTATTTTGATTCCTACTAAAAAGCCACATAACTTTATTTATGGGGTTCTCTAAAATAAGTATTCAGATTTACTCATATTTGAAAAGTGTTGACTTACTACTTTTTACTGTGAATTTTCTGATATTTTAGATTTAATTTTGGTTAACTACTTTCCTAGATTTTCTAGATCTTTAAAGTCACTTTAAAGGATAAGTTCTGTGGAATTTTCTTTTTTATATATATTTTTATTGATTTTTAGAGAGGGAGAGGAATAGAGAGATAGAAACATCAATGATGAAAATCATTGATTGGCTGCCTCCTACTGGGGATCGAGCCCACAACCCAGGCATGTGCCCTTGGCTGGAATTGAACCTAAGATCCTTTAGTCCATAGGCTGATGCTCTATCCACTGAGACAAACTGGCTAGAGCTTTGTGGGGTTTTCTGAAGTGTATATTTTGGATAAAAATCTTTCTTCATTTATAACAAATATAGAATTTATCTTCAGTATGCATTCTCTGATATTGAGAAAGGTAGTAGGTCCTGTAAAGGGGTTTGCCATATTTTTCAAATTTTTAAGTTTCTCTCCAGTATAAATTCTCATTTATTAATTAAGATATAAATGGTAAATACAGGCATTGCTGCATTTCTAACATTTGCATTATTTCTCTCTACTATGAACTCTCAAGTTCAGTGAGGTTTGTTTAATGGTTAAAGATTTTGCCACATTCTTTATATTTGTCTTGCTTCAGTCTAGCATAAGTTATGTGATATGGACTAAGGTTCCAACACTAGGGGAAAGGCTTTTCCAAATTCTTTACACTTCCCTCTGGTGTGAATCTATATACTTAGTGAGATTTGGGCAATAGCTAAAGGCTTTTCCACAATATTTACATTTGCATTGCTTCTATCCAGTTTTGGATTCCCCCACACTGAGTAAAGCTATAGCAGAGGATAAAGGCTTTGTCACACCCTTTACATTTGTAAAGTTTTTCTCAGGTATGCATTCTCATATGTTTGGTAAGGTTAAAGCAGAGGATAAAGGATCTGCCACATTCTCATCATTTATAAGGTTTCTCTCTAGTAAGAGACCCCTGATATCTGGTAAGATTTGAACAGTGTTTAAAGGGTTTGCTACATTCTCTACATTTATAAGGTCTTCCTCCAGTGTGAATTCTCTGAAGTTAAGTAAGCTCTGAGCACTGGGTAAAGGCCTTGACATATTTTCTACATTTATAAAACTTCTTTCCAGGTGAATTCTCTGATGTTGAGTAAAGCTTGAATACCAGTTAAAGGCTTTGCCACATTCTCCACATTTATAAGGCTTCTCTCCAGTATGAATCCTATAATGATTGGTTAGGTCTGAACACCGGTAAAAAGCTTTGTCACATTCTCTACATTTATAAGGCTTCTCGCCCGTATGAGTTCTCTGATGTCGAGTCAGGCTTGAATACCAGTTAAAGGATTTGCCACATTCTTCACATTTATAAGCCTTATCTCTAGCATGGTTTCTCTCATGTTTCAAAAGGCTTGAATAATCATTAAAAGTTCTGCCACATTCTCCACACTTATAAGGCCTCCCTACAGAATGAATTCTCTGATGTTCAGTAAGTTTTGAGCACCGGGTAAAGGCTTTGCCACATTCTCTACATTTATAAGGCTTCTCTCCAGTATGAATTCTCTGATGAAGGGTAAGGCTTGAGCTCCGGATAAAGGCTTTGTCACATTCTCCACATTTATAAGGCTTCTCTCCGGTATGAAGTCTCTGATGAGTAGTAAGGTCTGAACACCGGTTAAAGGCTTTCCCACATTCTCTACATTCATAAGGCTTCTCTCCGGTATGAATTTTCTGATGTCGAGTCAGGCTTGAGTACCAGTTGAAGGCTTTCCCACATTCTCTACATTTATAAGGCTTCTCTCCGGTATGAATGCTCTGATGTCGAATCAGGCTCGAAAACACATTAAAGGTTCTGCCACATACTCTGCACTTATAAGGCTTCTCTCCAGAATGAGTTCTCTGATGGCTGGTAAGACTCGAATACCACTTGTAGGCTTTGCCACATTCTCTGCATTTATAAGGCTTCTCTCCAGGATGAAGCCTCTGATATTCATTAAGTTCTAAGCACTTATTGAAGGTTTTGCCACAGTCTCTACATTTATAAACCTTCTCTCCAGTATGAAGTGTCTGCTGTTCAATAACATGGGAATGCAACTTAAAAACCTTATCACATTCTTTACATTTGTAAGGCTTCTCTCTAGCACGGATTTTTTTATGTATATATACATTTGATAATTGACTAAGGACTCTCACACACTGATTACACCTGAAAGGTGCCTCCCCAGTATCAGTATTTTTAAGTTCAGTAAGATTTAATGACTGGTCAAAAGAGTTGGCATATTCACTACATTTGTCTGCCTTCTCTACACTATGAATATTCTGAGGTCTGACAATATTTGAGCTTTTATCAAAGACATTCGGACACTTCTCATTTATCTGTGGAAGCTGAGTTGTCTGATGGTTATCAGAATTTGACTCTTGTTTAATGTTTTCCAAGGATTCATTGCACTGGAGACTTCTCTCTTCGTTATGTGTACTCTGGTAATCATTGAAGATAGAAAGGCCTTTAGTCATAGCATTTAATATTGCACATGTAAAGATGTTTCCAATGACCTATTCTGCTATCTAATGAACCAAGATGGTTGAACATAAATCCTAACACACTTATAAAAATTAAAGACTCTGGAATAAGAAAGAATATGTATCTGTGAAAGAATAATGCAAACTTGGTTAAGGGATTTACAAATTCATAGTTATAATTTCTATCTTCATTTTTTCAATATCTGATTTTTTAGAAATATTTTACTTAATCAAATCCTACATTAAATCATCCAATGAATTATCAGCACAATGGGCTAGTTTACTTTTCTGATATTGCAAATTTAACTTCAGAGAATATGTACTTTTAAAAAAATATCTTTGGACTTTAAGTTCAGAAACACATTGTTATGCCAATATAAGTGACTTAGAGAAGAAAATTTTAACATGTTTTATATTTTAAAAGTCTTTTGCCAATAAGATTTTTATATGGGTAATTGCTCCATTTGCTTACATCCCTCATAACATTCTTTTTTCTCTTAATATTCCCATGCCTACTAGAGAACTTTCATTAAGTGTAAATTCTCAATGCCACACCTTCAGTATCTTACCTGGGACATTTTGTGGAATGAATCTTCTATGCCTGACTTTGGCAGCAAGTCTTGGGTAACTTGAGAAGATATAGCTGAAATACACCAAATTAATTATAAAACACTACACTCAGGTAAATATTCTTTAAATTCTAATGTACAGAAAAGATTTCAGATAACAGGATAGAAGCACCGAAACATTCTTCCTCTATGGAGATGTTAAGTTACCAATAATTATTGAACCAATTACCTTTTAGAGTACTTCAGAAGCCAGCTCAAGACCACTACAGCCCCCAGAAAGTACAAAATAAAAATATCATATCATAGAGAGAAGAAAAGTTGCTCACATTTGCTTACCCTCCCTGGCACACTACAAAATGACTGTGGGATAACTCCTAATTCTCACTTTCTTCTCAGAAGAGAAATGAATGTACTGTGAGTCTTACAGTCTTGTTTTCTTGTGGCTATCTGAAGAACTTGTTTCTATTTTGAATAATACAGATTACTAAGGAAAGGGCAACACACTGTGAATGCATTGTGGTAGCTGTGAAGAAAAAGACGTAAGTGTTCAGGCACCAGAGGGACAACAGTGCTGAAGACATACATCAGGGATAGGAAAACATCATGAGCTCTATATATAATTGGGAAATTACACAAAACACACATGCCACCTTCAGGTCAAGATGGTGGTTAAAATAAATGTGGTACTGGCATTCTCCCACAACCACGTCAAGAATACAACTAAGTCTTCTCTCCACTATGAAACTACAGAAAAACCATCATTCAGAACCACCTGACACCTAGTTGAGCAGAAGTGCTACAATTAAGGTTATAAAGAAGAAGCTTCATTGAAAAGCTTCATTGAAACAGGAGGTGCAAAGATGCTGAATGGACAGGTCCCACAGGGCGAAGAAAAATCATGAGGGACATTTCAGCTGCACACATCAACTCTAAGGAGCTAGGGGGTCCCAGCCACACACTAGGCCCACCAGTCAAGGGTTCCAGGATCAGGAATAGATGTCCCCATTAGTTCTTGCTATAAAAACCAGTGGGGATTATGGCTGAGTATGAAGGATAACTGCTGGCGTCCAAAGCAATTCCTCTAAAAGGGCCCACAAATGAATATGCTCAATCACTCCCTCTGAGTTCCAGTGCTGAGGGAGCAATTGAAATCAGCCAGGGATATACAGGGAGGAAACGAAGTACCTGGCATTAATATGAGAGTTGAAGAAGCTTTCTTCCAGAAAGAAGTTTTGGTAGAAGCCACTGTTCCTTTTCTGAGTTCTTTCCCCACATAGCGGGCAGGCAGGTGCCATATCTAAAACTCCATCTACCCGGCTCACACTGCTTGTCTCACCCTGAAGATTTCCTGAGACCCCACACCATCAACTTGTAGGCCCCCCAAGCTATTTTCACTGGCTTTTCAATATAAATAGACTGGCATATACTCAAAGCAGCATCTGGCTTCAGAAAATGCCATATCTCTTGCTAAGTGTCCCCAGGATTGGCAATAGTGTCAGCTGGCCTTAGTTCTTAGTTTGGCCTTGCCTCAGAAACTCCAACCTCAGCATAAGTAGCAGACATATGCAGGTCCCTTCGTAGATCATGCCAGGTGACCCAGGTAGAACACAAGCACTGGTTGACTTTGCCCTGCACTTCATAGAGCCCCAAGCCAGCACAACTGGCAGACACCTTCAGACCATATCAAACCACTAACTAAACCACCTCCACAGGCAACAAACTCAAGGGGCAGACTCAGCAGGCACCAGAACCACAATGAAGTAAGTCCTGCTGTACAAGGTGAGTCCTGCACACCTAATCCTCCACAAGGATCACAGCAAATTTTTTCAACTGATTAGCCTTGGTCTAAATCCCTCTCATTGAAACTGCAACAGCAATCAAGGCTCAACTACAACAGGAGAGTATACATAGCCCATATGGTGGGGTGCACCTAGACTGATCAGCCCAGGTAAACAGGAGGCTATGCCACTGGATGCTACAAGACATCTACTGCATTATGCCACTCTTCCAAGCCTGAGAGATGTAGCAGCTCGACCTAATACATGGAAACAAACACAGAGATCTTTCCAAAATGAGGAGACAAAACATGTCCAAAATGAAAGAACAGAACTGCAGAAAAAAGTTAAAACAAAACCTAAACAAACAATCTACTAGATGCAGAGTTCAAAACTTAGAGGAAAGTTCAATGAACTTAGAGGAAGAGTAGATGAACATAGAACTTCCAAAGCTTTAAAAAAAACACACACAAAAAACAAATATGGAAACCTGAAAAAACAACACACAAATAACAGAAAAACAACACTCATAAATGAAGTATACACTAATTAAAATGTAGAATAATTTACAAGGAAATTAATAATAGAGTAGATGAAACCAATAATCAAAACAGCAATTTGGAATATAAGAAAGCAAAAAACATCCAATCAAAACAGCATAAAGAAAAAAGCATCCAAAAAAATTATGAGAGTAAGTTGCCTCTGGGACACCTTCAAGCATATCAACATTCACATCATGTGGATGCCAAATTAATGAGAAAACAGAAGAGAAAGAGACTCATATATACTAATAACATTGTGATGGTTGAAAGTAGGGAAGCTGGTTTGAGGTTGGATGATAAAAATAAAGGAATTAAGAAGTACAAATTGGAAGTAACAGAATAGTCATGGGAATATAAAGTGCAGCAAAGGGAATATAGTCAATAATATTCTAATAATTATGAATGGATATGACATTTATTAGGATGATCACTTAAGTTATATAAACACTAGGATGAACACCTGAAATTAATATACTGTATGCCATCTGTATTTGAAAAAATCACACACACACACGCACACACACACACACACACACACACACACATTATCCTTTCCAGAATAGGTTTAACAGGCCATTAAAAATCTACCATAGCCCTAGTTGGTTTGGCTCAAAGGATAGAGTGTCGGCCTGCAGACTGAAGGGTCACAGGTTCAATTCCAGTTCAAGAGCACATGCCCAGGTTGCCAGCTCAATCCCCAGTAGGAGGCATGCAGGGGGCAGCTGATCAATGATTTTTCTCTTATCATTGATGTTTCTATCTATATCTTCTCCCTTCCTCTCTCTGAAATCAATAAAAATATTTTTTAAAAATCTACCACAACTCATTGCTCTTTGTGTTCTCCTGTACAAAGCAAGTTCATAAAAAAAAAAAAAAAAAAAAAAAAATGAATGGCACCTGCTTCTCATGACCTTAAATAGCAACAAAAGATCACAAGGCATACAATGAAAGAGAAAAACATAGTCCAACCAGAGGAACAAAATAAGTCTCCATAAATTAGTCCTAAGTTAATGAAGATCTATTAATTACCTGACAAAAAATTCAAAATAACCATCTTACAGGGGCTCAATTGAAAAATAATGAAGAAAAAAAAAAAAACATAGAAAACTAAGTATTACCATCAAAACTATGCATGATAAAACTAAGAATGCATCTAAAAATATAAAAGAGAACCAAACAGATATTGGGAAATGAAGAATACAGTACCTGAATTTAAATAGAAACATCAGCAACAGACTTGATCAAGAAGAAAGAAGAATAAGATAACATGGACACCTATCCCCTAGTGTTCCTGGGATGTGGGAACCAAATTTTAGTATCTCAACCACTTCCCTCACAAACTACCTACATGAGGCAGAAAACAGATTTTAAAAATGGTTTAAGATGGAATTCCTCAGCAAGATTCACAAAGTTTCCCAGGTTCCCCAACAAAACGCAAGAGCAGTCAGGTCATACATCCTCACACTAACTGAAATGAAGAATAATTTACAAGGAAATTATTCTGTTTGAAGAGGACTTTGGCTCTCATTGCAAATGTGATGGAAGATCAAAGAGCAGAAGGAGAATCCTTAGATGATATCACCTAAGTGTTGGAGAGAATCTGTCCCTCTAACACAGAAACAGAAACAAACCTCATCTCTAAAAAATCATTTCCATTAAAACAGATCTTTCCAGACCAGTTTAAGGTCCGATTTCCTCTGACTTTTGGCCTCCCACCTAGGTCAGCTGCTTCCTTCCTTCACACCTACCTGGCTGGATGGATACAGTCTTTTCTTCCTTCAACTCCCAAGATTCCTCCTCCATTTGTTTCAAAAAATTGAGGTCTGGCTTAGACACAGAAAGGCCTGTTAATGAGGAAAAAAGGAACATGAGTTTTAATGGAAATTCTCCAATTTCCAATCTGGTCTCTGTGCTCAAGTGACAGGATAGGACATTGTAGAATACCAGAATATCCTAGAAAATTATCCCCCAAATATTATTTTTTGACAGCACCTTTACCATACTAGAGACTACATTTAAAGTTTTCTGATCCTGATTTCCACTTTGCAAGTACAACAGCAAAACACCAATCTCTTTCCTTGAGAACACGGATCTGAAATTCTATCATAAAAAGCAGAAGTTACAAGCAGACACTGTACTAATGAAGAAAACAAAACCCTGTGGGTGGAGTAGAAATTCTGGAAGGAAGTGGTCCTCACCCAGGAATACCAGGTTACTGTAGTTCTGAATCATCACATCCATGTACAATTTCCGCTGAGCTGGATCCAGGAACGCCCACTCCTCCTGAGAGAATTCTATGGCCACATCATTGAAGGTCAACTGTCCCTGAAATTTAAAAAAAAAAAAAAAAATTACTCAAGTGGCCATGGGTAGAGTTCATCATGTGACCCAAAATAAAAACAGTTAATGGAACCAGTTTTGACCTAAAAGTATTTTGACACTAACATGCTCTAAGGCATTTTGAGATAGGAAGATGACACATGATCCACAAAACCACTATAGAAGCTTTACTTTTCTGAAAGACAAATTTTAAAAATAAAGGCACCAACATAGGCATATCCACTATAGTTAAATCCTAGAGGATCAAGTACATATACTTCTTAGATTAAAAATTCATTCTAAGTGAAAACTAAACAGTACTTCTAAAATTTTAATATGTACAACAATAAGTGGACATAGAAACAAATGCGGATTCTTATTCAGAAGTTCTAGGGAGGGACCTGAGTTTCCACAAAGTTAACCAGCTCACTTTTAACTACAGACGCCCATGTGTCTGAACCATTTGCAAACACAGGAAAAAAATTCATACACAGGATTTTGACTGAACAATTTTATGGAATTTACAGGTCTCATAAATTAGTAAGCCAACCAACCACAGTTCTTCTTTAAATTTTACTATGTACTAGATATTATTCTAACAGTTTTCTAAATATTAATTAATAAAACTAATTAAGTCATCACAGAACAATGATATTCTTCTTCCTTTTTTCATGAGATTGTTTTGTAAAACATCCAGCAATTGACAGAGGCTGGGTATTACTCCAAACTTTATCTAGTATGTGTCTGTGATGCCTGTGGAATACAATAAAAGTTTATAGGTCTGAGGCCTGACTGATAAAAGCCTCCAACTTCGAAGCTTCTATCACCGAGTAAACAAAAATAAGAGCATTTATTCTGTAATGCAACCTACAAGCAAAGTGAGGCTGAAAAGAAAAAAAAAAGTTTCCAGATGAAATGTGATTGTTTATGCAGATTTTTCAAGATTTCTGTGAAGCCTGACCAGTGTGGTTCATTGGTTGAATGTCTATGAACCAGAAGGTCATCGTTCAATTCACAATCAATTGCCGGGGTTGGGGGCTTGATCCCCATAAATCTTACAAATTTATGAGACTTGGGGGGTATGCAGGAGGCGACCAATTAATGATTCTCTCTCATCATTGATGTTTCTATTGCTCTCTCTCCCTCTTCCTATCTCTCTGAAATCAATAAAAATGTATTTTAAAAAATAAAAATGTAAATAAACAAAATAAAAAGGAAAAATATTCTTGAGACAGTATAGGAATGTCACCACTCCTCAACCCCCATTCAAAACACCAGAGGTAGCTGACAATATCTCCCTCCTAAAGACCTGCTTTCTTAAAGATATTGAAACTGCTGGTGCACATGAGCAGTTGATGAAGGCTTGAATGCTACATGACCTTCCTGGGGTGGCTCCAGTGAACTACACAGTCATTATTTCCCCCACAGTGCAGGCGCTAACAACCAAGCATCCAGTTGGAAAAGGAAATCACCCCTACCCCCCGAAATGGGAATTTCCACCAAGAGGCCTTTTTCAAAAGGCGTACTTTGTCCCAAGCTTATTAAAGCAGCCAATCAGAACCACCTTGAGTTGGTTCGGAGGACCTTCCTTTCTTCTGTGTGCTCTCCTTTATGCTCAGAATAAGCCTAATAAAATTTACCCAGAAGTTTCTCTGAAGGTTCCTCTTGATTTATATCTTGGGAAACTGAAAAATTTCAAATGCCAGTAGCATTTTAAAGAGGTAACTTAGACAATCATAAAAACACACACACACACACACACACACACACACACACACACAAAGTAGCCAAAACCAGTTTGGCTCAGTGGATAGAGTGTCGGCCTGCGGTCTGAAGGGTCCTGGGTTCGATTCTGGTCAAAGGCATGTACTTGGTTGCGGGCACATCCCCAGTAGGAGGTGTGCAGGAGGCAGCTGATTGATGTATCTCTCTCATTGATGCTTCTAGCTCTCTGTCCCTCTCTCCCTTCCTCTCTGTAAAAAAATCAATAAAATAGAAAAATAAAAGAAAAAAAGAAAAACAAAGTAAGTAGTTGAAAACCACTTCACTAGGAAGGATCATCAAAGTAGAGAAGTAAAGGTTTGCAGCTTATAAACCCAGGAACTTTAGAAAGAAATGCCAACACAGAACTGACCTAAGACAGAGCGTTTACCTGAGAAGCAGCCATGTTGTCCTCTTCCTCCTCCGGCTCTGGGCAGTTTTCTCAGGCGACTTTATGTGGAGGAATCACACCTGCATCTTGAGGATACGCCGTGCTTCCAACACACTCACAGGCAGAAGGAACTTGAAATGCTGAAAAACATCACACACCCTTGTCCTTTGTCACAGGAGAGATTCAGAAACAATGAGACCCTACATGAAGACCAAACTGAGTTTTTTCTCTACTTCTTTCCTGTGCTCTACCCTTCAACACATGCACAGATCCCGACACGGCAATGACAATGACAATGTGGACTGTTCTGCTCCTCCCAAACCAGAGAGAGCACCTGTTACCACTCCTGGACCAAAGCCAGCTCTTCCAAAACGCTCTGGGGCAGAGGGCCCTTCTGCTAAACCCTGGCCTCAATTCTGGATCACTTGAACCACGTTAAAACAATGAGGTTCGGCCAGGTGCCCGGCCACCTCCCCCCGACCTGCTCCTCCCCCCAGCCTCTCCCCAGAATCCACAAGTCTGCACCTTCACCTGTACTTCAGCCACGGATATATTGGAATAGTTGGGACTCACAACAAAGTGAACAGATTTTTCACGTTGTGGCTTTTGAATGTCTATTTACAAACCAAACCTTCACTCTCGAGAAGGGCCTGATAGTTCCCAGGGAGAATGTTGCAATGATTGCTGATTGTGCCAGTGTGATTGAAGGAGTTGGTGGGAGCCGAAATGCCTTGCTGAATGGGGACACCAAGAATTATTATGATTGGGATTCTGGCTACACATGCCATCAGCTAAGAGGCGAGGCCATTGTGGTTCAGCTGGCACAGCTGTAAATTAAGTATTTCTCTCTCAGACCGCAACCAGCATGGCTAGAGAGTGGTCCACGAATCCTGAGTAGGGGCAACTGGGGATTGAGAAAATGAGACAGACACAGAGATTAAGAGGGGGAAAGCTGGGACTGACTGGGGCAGCTGGCCCTCTGATGGAGAGACAGTGATCCAGAGCTGGTGCAGCACCTTTATTATGTACAGTATAATTCCAGGAAGTTAGTTTACTAGAGTTTAAAACAAAGAAAATCATGTGAAATCATGGTTAAAGATCAAGCTGTAATTTTTCATTCTTTGTGACTCTTTATAATCGTCACTCCTGGCTAAGCGCAGATAATTGCGTCCATTCCTTGCGCCTGGATGAACTTAGATAATGAAACCCATCCCCTGGCACCTGAGCTAAGGGTCAGGCTGACAACGTACCTGCCTCTGGCACGGTGCGTTTCCAGGACGTGGCTCTGCCGACGCCACTGGACTCAGATGACAATAATCAAAGAAATGCCTTCCCAGGCGCTCTCTACAGTACATGATTGGGTCAATACGGTTATTATTTTGAGACTGGGACGATGGAAGCTATAGCTACTACATTGAGATTTCCACCCACCAGCAACAGTGGACCATGGTGGCGGACAGAACTAAAGTCTCCTGCAAGTCCTGGCAGTTGGGTAACTTTTGAAAGACAACCTGCCTCCTTCATCCGAATCGTTGGAACACACAACACAGAAAATGAGGTGTTCCACTGTGTCCACTTCGAGTGTCCTGAAGCGGAAAGGAGGAAAACAGCAAGGAGACACCAGCCCGGCCAGTTAGTCCTTGAGCCCCGTGCCCTGCTGGCCCCCAGCGGCAGCTCCCTGCCCTCCTGTGGGGACTCAGACTCTCGCTCATTTGGCAGCAGCACCGTAAAGGGGCTCTGATGGGCAGTGACGTGAGGGCTCTGATGGGCAGTGACGTGAGGGCTCTGATGGGCAGTGACGTGAGGGCTCTGATGGGCAGTGACGTGGGGGCTCTGATGGGCAATGACTTGGGGGCTCTGATGGGCAGTGACGTGGGGCCCTGTGCGGCAGGACCATGTCCCCAGCAGGGCTTTGTCACTGCCCCGCCCCTTCCTGCGGGGATCAGGTTTGCTCCCAAGGACAAGAGGGGCCGCTTTTGCTCTCAATTTGTTCCCATCAGGCTGGTCTCCAGGGGGAGAAAATGGTCTTCAGACTCCATCAGCCCAGCGTCCACACCCTACCTCTCATCTAACCCAGGCCCAGAGCAGGCGCACGTGGGCGGGCAGAGGGGACAGACAGGCCTCTGAGACCTGCGACGCCCTTTGGCGCCCTGGCAGCTGAATGGTTTTCCATTTCTGTTAGTTATTCCCCGTTTGCTGAATCCTATGTGCTCAGGTCTTTTTGAAATGCTCAAACAGCATCCTTTGACATTTGTCCTTCCTTAGTTTTGAACGGTCAAGCATGGGGTGGAGCGAGAAGCACAATGTCTCCCCAGCTGACAAGGACACTCCTCCAAGGAAGTTCAGCAAAACACAGGCGCAGAGCAGCCTGGCACTGAGCAGCAGCACTCAGTTGCTGGGTAGTGGACCCGTCATTTCTCGGTGAATCTGCCTTGGGAAGTGACAGGAAACATCCACTATGTGCCTGAGGACATGCTCCGATGCTTGTGTGGAACCTGCACAACTCCCTTCGGCAGGGCGGGCAGGAATGCAGGCCTGGGCCTGGGCGCGGCCCTGGTCATCCTCCATCCTCCAGGTCTGAGATGCTCCCCTCCTCCTCACTGAGCCATCCATCTCTCGGCCTGCTCAGCCCCCGCCCCCCCCCCCCCCCCCGCCCCGTTGTCTCAGTCATCTCCATTTAGGTTTCCCTGTAATTCCATCAGATTCTTGTCGCAGTTTCCTCTCTGCAGCTCTCCCTTGGCTGCCTGCCTGTTCGCTCCCTGTGAAGCTCCCCAGATGCGGAGTCCTACACACCTTGTGACCGCTGGGGGACGCACTCAGGGGTCCTTCTCTGGTGTCTTAAAGACACAGTGGTTTGGGTGTACAAAGAGCAGGGCGGCTCACTGCTTTCTCCGTAGCCGAGGGACTGAGGGGAAGTGAGGTAGGGTCGGATGAAGGACTATGGGAGCACGGCGGGAGAATCCGGGCTCCTAGCCTCCCTGCCCCTCGCGCTCTGATCTGCCCTCCTCCCCCTCCCCTGCGTGGGATGAGCGCGGTTCCACCCACCCCGCCAGCCACACACGCACTGGGCAGCCGGAGGAGTCAGCAGGTGAGAGCAGAGGCTTTCAAAGCCTCACCTGTCCAAGGGCCTCTTGGTAAACTCTGAAGTCACCTGTCCAGAGAGGAAGCCCTCAGCGTGGACCCGGGACACGGGGTGGGCCAGAGGATCTGTTAGCCCCGCTGTCCACACAGCACACCCGCGGCCAGGCCAGGGCTGCATGCCGCCGGTTGCTCATCTTCCTCCCAACCCCCCAAAAGGGGCCCAGATTGTGTCAGAGCATTGGACCCAGAAGTCCCTTCCCACCAGGCTCCCCTCCTCCCTGCTGTCTCCTGGAGACCCCTCTGGGTGTGCACCTTCCAGACTTCTGCCCTAGGTCTGTCTTGAGAACAAAATCTGCATCCCCTTTTACCCCTACTCGCCTCTGGCTCTTCAGTGGCTCCTACTATTGAAGGGAAAACGAGGCAGTTTGACCACATGGTGTCAGCTGGCCTCGCCCACATGTCTGGAGGCCTCACGGGCCTGGACGCTGCTCTACACCCTGAGGAGCTCAGCAAATCCTGCACAGCTACCCCCTGGGGCCAGGCAGGGGCTCTGCCCTCCTGATGGCCTTCTGACTGGGGAGCAAGGGGCTGGAGACCCACTGCAGGCCTATCACAGCAGACAGGCCCAGACTGAGGCCTGCAGCACCAGGGAGTGAGGGATGAGTCCCCAGATGACTGCCAATCTGCTATTCTCCAGCTGGGCCTGCGGAAGCCTTCTCCCCTGCGACCCCTGGACCAAACGGCCCCCAAACCAATAGAAGTCGGGGAGCCTACTGGGATGCAGGTGCAAGCTGAGCTGGCACTCAGCTGGAAGGGTTTCCAGCCACTCGGTTAGGGGGAGGAGCCTGGGCCGGGCCATGGCTTGGCAGGGCTGGTGTGGGACGTTGCTCCCTAGCCTCTATGAGGACATGGCCTGGTGGTTGTCCAGGTTGAGGAAAGGTCAGGTGAGGCTGGACCCTCAGTGGAGGTGGACAGGGGTGTTTGTGACCTCTGGCCCATTACTGTGATCCTTGTCAATTACAAACTAAAACAACAGCTTTGTAACCACCCCCTAACCCCCATCTCCACCCCCTGGTCAATTAACGGTCCTGTGGGAGTGAAAGGCCACTTTCACAAGGACTGAAGGGGTTGTGCCTGGCGGGACCCGTACCTGGTCAAGGTTCTATTCAAGCTGCCGACTCGAAGCAGGTGTACTAGTGTAGCAAACACACGGCCATCTATACACACATTGTTTTCCGATAGAACCATGAGCCCATGATGGATGTGGGACTCTTCTCAATTGCTCTGTAAATTGTCACTTTTAAAATCTTATTTAGCCCTAACTGGTTGACTCAGTGAATAGAGCGTTGGTTGGCCTGTAGACTGAAGGGTCCCAGGTTTGATTCTAGTCAAGGTCATGTACTTTGGTTGCTGGCACATCCCCAGTAGGAGGCAGCTGATTGATGTTTCTAAATTTCTATCCCTCTCCCTTCCTCTCTGTAAAAAAATCAATAAAAAAAATCTTTTAAAATTTTATTTAATGACAAATACATTAAGTTTTTTTTATTCCTAAAAAGAAAACACACAAAAACACACACACACGATGTTCTACCCAAACCAGTTGTCCATCTCTGTAGGGGGGGCACAGTAATGCTATTTCTTACAACTCAAGTGATCTAATGGGAGGAAAGCATGTAGCTAAGCATTTCTTCTGAAGCTTTAAGTCACATGCTGAGCCCTTGGGGATCAGGGCCCTAGCTGAAAAGCTATGATTCTGTAGGTGTCCGGTGAGGCCCATGGAATGGCATCTCTGTTTCCCTGGTGGAGCTGACCTGCTTTAGGTAACAATGGGCTACAGATACTAGACTCAAAACACCCGAGACCTGTGAGTTTTGTGAGACTGGACTAGGAATTTCTAGAAGGGCAGGATCCCAGGATGGATTCCTCATGTGGAG